AGCATTTTGTTTGTTACTCCTTCGCTTTCTATGTGTTTTGGTTTTGATTAAATTATCGTTATTGCAGCAATGTATTTTAGTTATTTACTTGGCAATAATATAATTCTTTTATTTTGCTTTAGATGCTAAAAATGTAACCTGTAGCATTCTGAAACGTTTATCCGTGCCCCCTTCTGTTACAAATATACAAAGATATATATCTTTTAGTATCGTTATTCTTTTTATTGTGAAACCACTGGACAATTCAGAAATCATAGTGTGATCTCAAACTGATTATTCGTATACTTAATTCACAGCACGATAAATTACAAACATGATTTATTTCCAATTTCTACTAATCAAAGTAAGATAAATACATTTTTATCATAATAAAAAAGAACGTTTATAATATTTCCCAATAGTAATCTGTACGCATATTAAAACTAGAGTGCAGCACTATTCAGCAGTTTGTTGTATTTCTTGGCTGTGACGTAACATAAAAGTGGTGCTACGCATCTGCTTGTTTGTGGAAGAATAAAGCTGGAATAGAGTGAACAGTTTTACTATGTCTTATGCATATTTGTTCAAATATATAATTATTGGAGACACAGGTTTGTACGAAATACAATATTTATGAACTATTGGCAAACCCAAGTTATTTTTGGTAGAAGTTTAAACCGAGAGTGGTTATTAAGAATGAGACTAATAGTAATAATAATACCAGTAAATTAATTTGAGTTAAACAAATTTTATTTTGAACTTTAACTTAAGTTCATTACGACTATTCGGACTGATATTAATAAGATAAGTAAAGTAAATTGAAAGAAATTTCAGCCTGTATCATGTATATACTTGTGTATATTTTACGTTAATACAGTCAGGATTAAATAACGAACAATGCTATCATTGATTGTTAATGTTGTTCTAATGTCTTATGACACTGACAGCTACCCACATAGGTATTGTCTGAATTTGGCCTGCACAGGCGTTGACGCAATGGTTGACCAGCTGTAACTCAACTGGCCGTAGCCTTAGGGCGTAGGGGAACTAGTTATTTTCTTACAATCTTGCAACATATGTTTTTACCGTGCTTCATTTATTAAATGTATTTTTTTGTAAATAAACGCAGACTTCGATAAAAAAAATTACAGATTGATTATATAATTATAACTTCATGCTAACTGCAAACAGTAATGTAACACAAACGATCAGTTGGTTCTTCAAAGTTCAAAGCTGTCCCTTCACACTCACCACCAAGGAAAAAATATATAAAAATTAAGTATTTATTTTATTTTTTCAGAAAATCATTTATTTCATTCTGAAGCTCTTGCAGGGTTCTGGCCTGTGCTACTGTCAATAGCAACTTATTTCATAAGCAAAGCACACTGTTAATAAAACTGCCATAAATAGAGCTTGGCCTGTCTTTTCCAAATCTTAAACTTATTTCTTCTGGTTATGTTGTATTCAATATATAGTGCAATGAAATTGGATACATTTATTTTATTGATCCCTTGAATAATTTGATAAACAATAAGATCACTCTTTACCCTTTTTGTCTGAAAAGAAAATAATAAAGAGATGTTATTATTTACCATGAGATGAGACTTTCATACATGGAATCATCTTAGTAGCCTTCCTCTGAATCCTCTCCTATAATTTCCTGGGTAACTCTTATAGCCCTTTAACAGTGATTTCCAATAGATTGCTAAAATAGTCAGGCTGCTTGGCCAGTAATTTCTTGTACCTCCTCTAGATGACTCCTTTTTCAAAATAACATAAAATGAAGGTCAACAAAAGGCTCACTGGTCCATCTAGGCCATCCCATCCACTTACAAAAGAAAAAAAATCCTCAAAACTAATTCTTATCACTCATATACTTATGAAGCCTTCCCTTAAATGCCCTTAAATTTACTGTGCTCACTACATCTGAAGGCAACACATTTCAAAAGCCAGCCACCTTGTTCAAAAAAATAAAACTGTCTTAGCTGAAGATGGCTCCTACCCTACCAAGATTTGTTTGTGTCCCCTAGTTTTACCATTCTCTCCATTAAGCATGAGAAAAGATGATGCACTGACACAATCAATTCCCTCATGATTTTAAACACTTCATTTAGACCCTTTCTAACTATTTGTTTTTCAAGAGAAACTAGTTTCGGAGATTTTAACCTGCTTTTGTAGTTAAGCAGAAAAATGATTAAGGACTGATTTCATTCTGAAGATATTGTTAATTGCTTGATGAAACAAATGTGTTCTTTGTATCCAAAGTCTCTTTTGAAACATTAATATAATTGAAGTTTGATCTTTTCAATATTGAAATAACTTTAACTAATTAGTGTATAGAAAAAAGGCTACAAGAATGATTTCTGGTTTTAAAGAAATGAGCTATGATGCTAGACGTAAGCTTTTAATTAATGGATTATAGGTGATTTAGAGAGGATTTTTTAGATGTTTAAAGCATTAGGTATGTTTCATGTTAACTTTCTGGAAAAATATGAAATTGCTAGATAGAATGATAAGGGAAACATTCATTTAAATGTTGAAAGTTCATGACTTAAAGCTTCAAAAGCTTAAACAGAATTACTCCTTCCTCGGATTATATGTTGAGAAATTGATAAGTGAAATATTATACTGAATACTTTTTTATTCAGTGTCCTTCCTTAGGTAAAGAAACCAAAACTTAATTCAAATGTGGCCCAACCACCTAACCTATTCTATGAAATGATAACCTTTTTAGACTTTTATTCAATATTTTTTAAGATATAACTTAAAATTCTCAATCAATAGCAATAACATACTATACTTGGGATGGCTTAAATTATGATTAGAGCTGGGTGATTTAATTGATTACCTATGAGCATTGATTACATTACGATTAATCAGAATAAATGTTTCTGATTATTAGCTTTCAATTATTCCCACAGTTGATTAATTGACATTTGAAATAATGATTAAATGGATTGTCACAAATAATCAACTAATCAAAATTACTGATTCTGATTATTACTGTTTTTGATTACTCCAACAGTTGATTAATAGAAATTCCAGTTGTATTGATTGTCAAGAAAATAATCAACTGATTGGAATTGTAGTTTCAAATTATTACTATTTTTGATTATTCCAAATACTTAAGTAATGGAAATAGTGTTATTATGTTTGTTTGTTTATTAAGCACAAAGGTATATAATGGGCTTTTTGTGCTCTGCCCAATTTTAGTTTTATAAGTTATTTTTTTTTACTTCAAATTTGTTCAGCTTTGATTTTTTGGGGGGAAGGTTTATGGTTTGGTTCCCCTTGCCATAAAATGTTTTCACCCTGACATTATCATAGCAAAGCTATTAAGGTTATCTACCACTGTCTCTAATTTTGAAATGCTGATTGGAGGGAAATTAACTGGCTCTTTTCATTTTGGAACTGTTGATTATATGGAAGGTAACTGGCTAGCAGCATCTGTTTCCAACTTTTCTTTCTTTCTTTCTTTTGTTTGCTTGTGTGTACCATGTTTTGAGGAACATGATACTAATTGTTTAATTAATGTAATGAATTACTGAGGCTATTGGTTAATTTATTAACAAAGACCACCACTCACCAGCTCTAATTATAACCCACGTGCATTACCTTGCATTTGTAATAATTAAAAGCCAACTGCCATTTATTGACCTAACTCACCAAATGATCTGTATCTTTTTGTAAAGTAGCAGCATCCTCCTCAAAGCCAGTAACACCCAAAACTTTTATATCATTAGCAAGTTTAAATAATTTATTGCCCATTTCCTCACCTGTGTCACTGATGTAAATCAAAAAGAGCAAAAATCCCAACACCAAACTCTGAAGTACAAACGAGATGACATGGCAAAAGGGTTAAGGCCTTGATTGATTCCTATCATCCCATGTGTCTTTCCTTAGAGGAAACATTCCTGAAACCTGCCAATACAGTCACCTTTTGGCAGTTTTCTTTATAACAGAATGACAGGTTATGTGATGGACAATACACCCTTCCATCCGTGTTTCCTTCGGTCATACTATCACTGTTTATTTTTCTTCTGTCTCCTGGGGAGATGATCCATCAGACTTTGATGCTCTCATAGAACAGTTGCCATCTACCTTTGTAAGTCTGTGAGACTTCAATGGACATAATCCCCTATTGGGTGGTGCTGATATTGATGGGAGGGGTCATTTTGTAGAGCGTATGCTCTCAAATCACCACCTCTCTCTCTCTTCAATACGAGTTCCTTTATCTATTTTCATGCACCTATTCAATCTTTTACTACTATTGATCTATCCATCTGTTCCCCTTCACTTTTCTCTCATTTCTCTTGGAGGGTTGACAGTGACCCATGGGGCAGTGATAATTTTTCTATTGTTTTGTGGGAAATTTGCCATAGCTTTATGCCACCTGACCTGAGTGCCACGGTGGAAGTTGGACCAGGCCCACTGGCTCTCTTTCCCCTCTTGCTTGGAACTCGATCCTGCTGTCATTAGTCTTCCATCTATTAACGACTGTGTGGAGGCAGTAACTGATTGTATCATTCAAGCAGCTTATTGTTCCATACATAAAACTTTGACAATTTTTCCATGTTATCTGCATCTATGGTGATCTCCAGGCATGGAAGGCTTAGAAACAGGCCTGGGATTCCTTTTGCAGATATCCCACTCTTTCCAACTGCACTGCTTTCCAGCAGGACTATGCCCATGCTCAGCAGGTCAGACATCAAAGCCAAAAGGAATCTTGGATTAACTTTACAACTCTTCTACAACCTGTTCCAAAGTCATATGGGACAAGATTTCATAGGTCAAAGGGAGGTATGCTTCCCATCCCCTTTCCATCTTCCTCTCCAATGGCCAGAAAGCTGCTGATGTACAGAACATCACTGATACTCTCGGCGAGAGATTTTCTAATGCATCCAGCACTTCTGTTTCTTCTTTCGCCTTCTTGGCATCAAGTCTCAAGCATAGCGATCAACTTTCCTTTTGGGCTAATCATCTCTCTGACTATAATCGTTTCCTTACACTAGTGGAACTTGAACTTACTCTTCATTTGACCTGATGATGTTCACTATGAGATGCTGCGCCATCTCTCTCCTGCCTCTCTTGCTATTCTTCTGGTTGTCTTTAACCGGATCTGGCAGGAGAATGTTTCTCTTGATGCCAGGCTACTGTCCTCCCTTTTTCTAAGCGTGGGAAGGATCCCAAGATTCTTTCTGATTATTACCCAATCACTTTGACTATCTGTTTCTGTAAGGTCTCGGAGAGGATGGTTAATGCTCATCTTGTTTGGTTACTTAAATCAAACAACCTCTTCTCGCCAACCCAGTGTGGGTTCCGTCCACAGCACTCCACCGTGGACCACCTGAATCGACTTGAGACCTCTTTCAGGGAATCCTTTCTCAAGAGGGAACATCTTGTTTCTGTTTTCTTCAATCTTGAAAAGGCACTACATGAAGGTATGGCATTTTGCAGGACCTCTACTCATACGGTTGCATGGCCATCTACCCATTTTTAATCGGAACTTTTTATTCAACAGGCAATTCCAAGTCCACGTGGGTTCGACACATTCCCGTTCTTTCAGACAGAAACTTGGAGTCCCTCAGAGCTGTGTCTTGAGGATCACATTTTTCAGTATCAATGAAATGCTATCACTACACAGCTTTCTCCTACTGTTGCAAACAGAATCTATATTGACGATTTCCACATCTCATGTCAGTCGTTGAACATGAGGTTTATTGAGCGGCAGCTTCAGACTGCTCTCAATCACTTGTTGAAGTGAACCGTAAAAGACAGTTTTATCTTTTCTTTTTCCAAAACTGTTTGCATGCACTTTTGCTCTGATCCCAAGCCCCATCTTGGTGATGTTATTTTCCCATGGTTCTTGAGGCAAAGTTTTTGGGTTTATCTTTGACAATAAGTTGAATTTCATTCACATAAAACAGCTACGTTTCAAGTGTACAAATGAGCAATGTCATAACAAGCTTTTCCAGATCAAACCTTCTGTTGCGCTTTGGCCATGTTGTTTCCATTAGGATCAGAAGGAGTAAGTTGTCCTGGCTAGGCTAGCATTGGTCACAGTTTTTTAACTTCATTTTCTTTTATCTGGTACTGATCCACCAATGTGCAGCCTTTGTGACATTCAAGTCACAATAGCCCACATTTTACTCTCATGCTGTTGTATGACTGAGCGACAGCACCATTTTAGACATGTGTTTTTTAAGGGTTTAGCACTGACATTGGACGGTGTCATTGGTGATGGTGAAACTGTCCAACTTGATTGTATTTTTCAATTTTTATGACCTATTGGCCTTTTTAATTTCATAATACTACGATAGATTTACCTCTGATGTCACCTCATACATAGACCATCTCTTCACGGATCCATCCCTACAAGGATGGGGTGCATATCTCAATATTCAGGAATTCCAGGGTATGTGTATGGAGGACGAGGATTCCCTGCACAATGTTTTAGAACTTTTTGGTTTTGGAAAGGTGATGTATCACTCTCTGAACTTATTAAGGGGAAAATCATGAGGCTTCACTTCAACAATTTCACGGTGGTGTCTTACATTTTCCATAAAAGGGGCATTTGGTCCAGGTCTTTCTTTTTTAGAACCTTGGATCCTCTTTCTGGGGACCACTCCTATCATATCACCTGACTAGCTTGCTATGTACTGGAAGTGATAAATGCGGTGGCAGATGAATTATCTCGACCCAAACAGATTCTCCTGACAGAATGGATGCTGCATTGCAAGGTTTTTGGTTGGATTTGCTCTCAGTTCAGAACACTGATGAGTAATATGTTGGCTACCCATTGAAACACCCAACAACCAGCATTTTGGTCTCCAGTATCTCCCTGTTGGGCATTGTTAATAAATGCATTCAGACAGGACAGGATTATACCTCTAGGCATTCACACTGATTCGTATGTTACCCAACGTACTACCTATGATTCATTCCAATCCATTGTCGGGTTCTGTTGATAGCACCAGATTGGTGGCTAAACTCTGGTTTCTGCTTCTGTAGTACCTTCCTCTTTGACCATCTGTGTTGAGGCACCTGTGATCCGACATTGTACACCTAGCCATCCTGAAGCTCAAACTTCATGCATGGAGATTTTGCGGTCCTTTGTGGGTTGCCATGTATCTGTCTCAGTCTTTGCATAGTCCCATGATAGACATTTATCAATACAAATGACACACATACCGACAATGGTGTATTGAAAGGAGGTTGAACCCACTTCGACCAGCAATTCCAACCATAACTCGTTTTTTGACCTGGCTCTTTGACAAGAGTTTTTCATGTTACACAGTCGGCTTATATATGTCAGCCTTATTGACTACCTTTAGATACTTGAGATGAAAATTATTTGAGTCCCCAGTGCTCTCAGGCCTCCTCAAGTCATTATGGGTCCTTTGTCCCAAATGACTGTGGATTTAGGAACCATAGCCTTATAATTCTAACCCCAAGCAGTGGGACCTCAGCTATCTGGTTGGGGCCCAGCCTGTTGTGATGACAGATCGTGTCAAATTCCACCTGAATATCACAATTTATGTTCTGGTGAAGAGAATACCTGTTCTGGATGTAGTGCGGCTCCACCACTAGGGTGCTAAGCTTCTATTGGCACACCCATGATCTATGCAGATGCATTTTTATGGATAATGCCCTCACCAGCTTCTCCACACTATCAATGCAGGATTCTAGCTGTAGTGTGAGAGGAGGTAAGTATGTTTTCTTAATTCAAAAATGTATTTCCAATAATACTTACCTCGTATTACACTCTCCCACCCTTCCTCCACACAAAGAGCCAGTGTTAGAGACTGCAGATTGGGTAACTCTTGAAAAGGTGATAATATTATCTGAATGAGGTGCTTATATACAGTACCAGGGTAGATGGCACATGGATGTAGGTGGTTTGGTAGTTAGACGTGGCTCAGAGCAAAAAAATAAAATAAAATTTAATGAAAACATGTAAACTATTATGAGAGTTAAGCTATTAACAATAACTAATTTGAAGTGCTCAAATTTATATAGTGAAAAGATATTATTGATATATATATCTTTCATATAATTTTAAGAGTGGAAGAAAAGTTGACATAGATATGAGATTTGCAGGGTAGAAGTTGTTTGCAGGTCAGGTAATTTTATTTTTTAAACAAGGTGGTCAGCCTTTGGACTGGATTGTCATCAGTTGTGGCAAATGCAAGAAAATTTGTAAACTTCAAGAGAAGGCTTGATGAATACTTAAAAATTCAGGGCTGGTTATAAATAGATGAGTATTCCTTATAATGAATGGGAAAGCCACAGTGAGTCTAAGGGCCCCTTGTTATTACTCGTATGCACTACAATTTCATATAACTAATATTTTGAAGAGATGATGGGCAGAGATAATATTGATAACAGGGAACATAATTAGCTTTAATCTTTAACCCTTTCACTGCATCTGGGATGTATATTTCCCACTTCATGACAATTAATTAATCATAATTTAATCAAGTGTTGGAATAATTTAAAACTAATAATAATTTCAAATAAACAGGTATTTTACATGACACATGGCAGTGATTACATAAGCGACGTAATTGCTGCTCGTAGATAATCAAATAAGTTGCCCAGCTTTAGTTATAAACATGAATATTTTTAAGACTTCTTGGGTGTTTAATTGTGTCGAAAACAAAACTGATAACACTTTTTTTTTTTTCATCTTGGAAATTAGGATGCTCATCTCGTTTTATACAAAACAGTTGTTAGCTCTATTTTATTAAAGTATTGTGTTAATTTTTGGTTATCTACATAATTGAAACTGATTTGCTAGAGAGGTTAGAACTTGTTGCTTCCAGAATGGTTTTTGATTTTTAAAAACGTGAGTTATGAAGGTAGAGTTAAGCACTGAAACCTAATCTTTACAGAAAGTAACATAATGTGGAGAGACTGAGGTGTACAGCCTTTGTAACAAGAAAATAAAACAATTGTAAATAGTTATAATCAACTATGTTTGGAAACCTACAGTAATTGTAGGCTCATTTGTAAAATGCTTTTCCCTTCAAAGAAATGATGTCCAGAAAAGCTTTATTGAAGAATGCTTTATATGTTGTTAGTATGTATCCTTTCAATACTTGATTCAATGAATTTATGGACAGAAAAATTACAAGGAGGTAGGAAGGGTGGAGGGGATAATAGGTGACCATTAGCTGCTTGTTTTTTGTATAAAAAAATGGTGTGGTTCTTAGTAGTGAAGGTTTACATTATATACAGTATACCATCTTTATGAAACAACATTTGTAGGCATGTCTTTAATAAAAAAAATTATGGTAAAGCTTTGAACATTTGTTTTGGGTTTGTTTTTTCATAATTTATTAAGTATTCATTTTCGTGTTAGATTTATAAAAGTAATTGCCACAAATGGTAACGGTAGTAAAAATGTAGTGTATTAGACTGTACTGATGGGACTACTTCTGTGTTTTGTTTTTTCAATCATTTTCTCACAAATTTTTGCGATGGATTGAAGCTTTATATTTTTATGTAAAAAAAAGAAAGAAAAAGTAATCCCTTTGGTTAGTTAAATGCAAGTTTTATTGCACATAAGGTGATTTGCAAGATATTGCATTGTATATGTATTGTGTGTGTACGCGACTTGTTTTTTTTTTTCTGTTTAAAGGTGTGGGGAAATCATGCCTTCTCCTCCAATTTACTGACAAAAGATTTCAACCAGTTCATGACTTAACTATTGGTAAGTAATGCAGTTTTTTTATTATATATCTGATCTGTAAATATATTAGAGAGCAAAATAAGGATTAAACTTAGCTTTGGATGTTAAAACAAAGTTCTCTTTGAACTTTCCTCTGCATTAGAATTAACAAATGTAAGAGCTAACAAGTTGATAAAAAAAGATGGTTTGACCGTGAAGACCAAATTAATTTATAAATATCATAATTTTAAAAGTTAACTGACTTCAAAATCAGTTTATTAATAAATACCTATTGTGCATTATATATCACATTGATAATCTTTTTTAACATATTTTTGCTACGGGAACCTTTTTCTGCATATGTCATGAGGTTTTAGTGAGTTATATTCAAAATTTAATTAAACCACTTTGTTATCATGGAATATGAATACATTTGGCATACAAATTTAACTAATAATCCAAATTTTAATAGTTTATAAATTTTATGTTCCGCTAGTATGAAAATTGTGACATTTTCTTTTTTTAGGCATCCTCTTTTCTGTAAATTACGTATTATAATGTTTTCATCACTCAGGCAAAGCATAATTTTTATACCCTTCAATCTTATTTAGTTACAGAGCCATCAAATAGAAAATCAGACCACTCTTGACACACCCACCCTCACATCCTCTTTTTCACAATTTGCCAATAGTCCTCTGTGATGTTTAATACTATATTATTTATAACCAATAGAAAGCCAAGGTTTTAATCTGTCAAAGAATGTTTTATAGCACATTGTTTTCTGTACAGAGAATTGTCAATTTTTGTCTATTGTATACTATTTAATTAAATTAAAATTTTAATGCAGTACTACCATTAATATAAAAAGTATGGTCAAGTGTCATCGAGAGTCAACAGCAAAAAAAAAGACCAATGTAAGTACCTTTTTTCTTGTTTTATATGTCTATTCATTATTTATTATTATAAAAATAATTAAAATCTAAAAAGAGGAAACGTTTTATGTTAGTTAATGTTAGATTAGGTGAAATTATAATAAATGTTTTGGGAGGTATTCTTTCCAGCAGCTTGTGTGTAGAATAATTCTATAGTGTACTGTGAGCTGCACCTTTGCCAAGTGATTTAGAACTTATAATAGCTTAATAGTAATTAGTCAGGGCTCAAAGGACAATAAAACAATAAAATTTAAGTATAAATAGATACATACTGTTATGAGTTTAAAGCTATTTGGGGTAAACAAATGTAGTTTCATATTAAAATTTGAAGTCATCTAGAAAGAAAAAAGGGTAATTTAAATTTATTTAAATTTTTTTGGTGGTTACAAGGTCAGTCAAATTGACCAACCTTGTATAAAATTGTATGTATAGAAATACTATGTATATTTACAGACAAGTCTTTAGTAAAAAGAATTAATTAAGAAATATGATTTTTCATGTACAAAAGACTTGTAATGTTTACTAAGAATTTGCAAATTTTTCTTAAGGTACACAAGGTGTATTAAAAGTTATAGTAATGAAACTATAACAAGGAAAACATGGTTGCAATGTCAGTTGATTTAACTGACCTCATAGGAAGAGCATTAAATAAAAAAATTATTTAGTGCAGTAGTATCATTAATATAAATAAGTAGGGTTAAGTGTCATGGAGAGTTGGCAGCAAAAAAAACAGAAGACCCAGGTACGTACTTTATTTCTTGTTTTTCATGTGTATTCTTTATTTATTTTTATAAAAGTAAATAAAATGTAAAAATTAAACTTTTCAGGTTATATTAGGTAAAATAAAGAATAATCATAAAACTTTTTCATGAGATAAGCTCATGAGCAGCTCGCAAGTAGCTTGTGCATTATGTAATTCAATACAGTATTGTGAGTTACATATTCATCAAGTAGTTTACAGCTTATATGGCACATATATCAAGTAGACACTGACATGGTTCAAAGAGCAATAAAATTTAAGTATAAACAGATGTACATGTTATGAGTTTAAAGCAGTGTAAGATAAACAAATGTAATTTCACATTACAATTTGAAGTCATTTTAAAAAGAAAAAATTCAATGTATTTCATTTTTGTTGTTGTTTTTTCTGGTGGCTAACAGATAAAATATATTTTTACTGAAAAAAAATGTTTATAATTTATTTAGGCAGTTTTAGAGATTACGCAAATGAAATTTGAAAATTTTCAGATGAAGAAAAGTATTTTTAATCTTAAAATGAAAATCACTTTGCACTTGGAGCAGTCAGCACTGACTCCATATATTCATGGAGAAATATTTAGTAAACATACTTCATTATAACTTCTGAATTGTTTGTATACAAATTACTCTTAATGATCTCTCAAAACTTGGAAAATTATGTGAAAATACACAAAACATATTAGAAGTTATAGTATGGAAACTATTAGATCATCAAGAAATTAATGTCTCTTTTTTTTTTTTTAGATG